TTTTTTTTTTTTTTTTTTTTTTGAGTCAGTCTCACTATGTAGTTGAGACTGACCTGGAACTCACCGTGTAGTCCAGGCTGGTCTGGAATTTACAGTGATCCTCCTGCCTTAGCCTTCCAATTGCTGGGATTACAGGCGTGTACCACCACGCCTGGCTCCACCCTCTATCTTGTTTGAGCTCACAGCTTCTAGGAGGCACTGCCATTTTCCCCCTTTTATAGAAAAAGAAACTGGGCCGGGAATTTAGCTCAGTGGTTCGGTGGCCTGCCTTGCAAGCACAAGGACACGAGTTCAATCCCTAGTACCAAAAAAAAAAAGAGAAAAAGAAACTGAGGCCCAGAGAGGGAAAGAGTTCAGGTCACACATCTGGAATGTGGGAAGCTCTTTGGCTGTATTGCTCTAGGAGCCCAGGGGCCCATTGGCCCTGCCCACCTGAGCCTCTTTCCTGCTCTCAGGCTGGCTGGTGTTTGCCCCTCTTCTTATGAACCCTTTGGGAAGGAGGTCTCCATGCCTGCTTCTGTGAGCACCTTATCACTGCCAGCCCCTAGCCTAGCTCTTGTCCTTTCCCCACATCACTACATCAGGTCCCGGCTCTGTCCTGGCCTCCACCCAGCAGCCTCCTCCACCTCCGTTCTTCCAGGGCTCCACTCGGGAAGCTGCTGCGCTCCACCCCACACCCTCCCCTAAAGCCTGACCCTCCTCTCTGGGCCTCAGCCACACCCTGCCTGGGCGACCCCAACCTCCTGGCAATAGGACAGTGCCCTGCTGAGGTCCCAGAGGACCATCAACCACACCGCACCCCTTCTTTACCACTGTCTGTCCAGGGAGGGCTCACCAAAAGGCAGGCAGGCGCCCAGGGCCCTGTGTGCCCCAGCGCAGAGGCTGGAGGCAGGCAGCAAGGCCCACGTGTTGGCCGCTATTTAGGGTGCTGTAATATTCATGAAGGAAAGATTAGATATTTAAATTTATTCAGCAATAAATGCATCTCAGTGGGGGAGTATTCCTCATCTAAACAAACAAGCAAGCAGGGGCTAATTTACAGGAACAGAACCTGTGGCCTGGGGAAAAAGGGGGCAGCCAGGCCCCTGCCAGAGGGCAGGACACTGGCCAGACTCCCTCTCTGCCACCTGGGGGCCTGGCCCTGTGCGCTTCTTCTAGGGTTTCTCTTCCCAGAAATCCTGGCTGCAAGATTACTGGTAGCTCTGGGTAAACAGGAGTCTCAGAACCAGGTCTCAACGGAGCAGGGGGCAGCGGGTAGGGGGCTCTGACACAGCAGCAAAGTAACCCAGGGAAGAGGAGCCTGAGGGGCCAGAGGGAGGCGGCAACTTGTTGGAGTCTCACAGTCAGAGGCCCAGCAGAAATGAAGCTCACAGGATAACCGTTTCCCGGAAGAGGAGGCAGACCACACTTTGTCTGAGTCGCACAGCAAGGTGGGCCTAGGCAGCCCTTACCTCTGCCCAACCTTCCTGGGCCCCTGTGTCCCCAGAGCAGGGAAGAGTGCAGGGCAGAGCCGGGCCAGCTCAGAGGGTCCTGGGTCACACAGCCTCTGAAATGAACTCACTGGGGCCGGGTGGGACGTGGCTTCCAGTGGCAGGGAAGACCCAGACCTGTGGGACACCAGGCAAGGCAGCATCCCAGAGCCAAGTCCCCTCGCCTGAGTTCTTCCACCTCATCTCTGGGTCACGTTGTTCTCTCTGTGCCTCAGTTTGCATAACTGTTCAGCACATAGGATTACCTCCTCGCTTGGATTAGGCTTTCAGTAAGACACCGTTCAAAGTGCCCTGTGCTTGGTCGCAGTGTCACCTTCCTTTTATAGACGGGGAGGTCCAGGCTCAGCCACAGGCCC